TAAGTATATTATAGTATATTCAAGAATGAAAAAATATAAAAAAACATGATTTTAACACTGTCATCTTGTCATTTTAACTGTATTGTATTGTTTTATGTATTACAGTTTTTCTGTGTTCAAACCACAGTAATCTGTAAATTATACAATGAAATATAATTATTTTTAACATATTCTTAATGTGAATTTAACAGTTTTGTTTGGTTCAGTACTTTACGAAATATTATTGTAAATTAAACACTGCTTCATTGTTTCTCTATTTACAGTTTTTTGATGTCGTGATTTTACAGCTTTTCCCTGTTAATTTCACGGACTTTTTTTACAGTGTACCGTAAACAAGTGAGCAAACCAAAGTCAAAAGTCAAAGTCAACTTTATTGTCAATCTTTCAGTTTGTGTGTATAGACAGAGAGATCGAAATACCGTTTCCCACAATCCCGAATACAGTAACAAAGATATAATATGTGTTCAAATATGTATATACCTAATATATATACACAATCAGCAGACACATTTATATATATGCACACATTTAGACATAAATAAAAAGCACAACAATCAATATATACAAAATAACTGTCACTTCAATAACTTTGAGAAATGTAGCCTATTAGTGCAAGACTATGCATAGCAGCGTAAAAAGTGTCTGGTGCTGGATTGACTATCTTATCAAATGTGTTGTTTAATTTCTTCTTATATTATTCACTTCCCATGTGTACAGATTTCAATGTATATTATGCTGTTTCTTATCAACATTAATTCAAACAAATCATCTCCTTAGACCTTTTTTACAGCGGGTATTTTGTCTTTGTCGTCAGGGAAAGCACTATTATCCAGGACCCTGAGACTGACCCAGCTAAATGGAATCAGCCATCATTAATCTTGATTTACAGCGGTGCTTTTCATGTCAAAACGTCTTCTGTAAGGAAATGCGTATTTTTCTATTTGCAGAGCACTTGGTTTTAGCCAAGTTTGGTTATCTGCTTAAGTGCTGGTACTTTTTCAAGTCTAAAGACGTGGGCTTTTTAGCAGATTGGTGATAAAGGGACTAAGCTGCCCTACCCTGAAATAAATGCTCTGGCCCTGAACAGAGTGGAAAGATATATATAAAATGTAACTTTTTACAGTCCACTATTATTGTAAAACAAGATAGGAAAACAGTGGACATCGTTAGCAACGCCCTCCCGTCCCGTTACCTTGGCTTTGACAATAACTTAATGTGCTCTTTGATTAGTTTTGCTTGAATAAAAAGGGTGTTTTAAAGCTGCATTCAATATGTTTTGCCCACTTGGGGGCAGTTGTAAGCCAACACATCATTCACATGCTTTTACCTTTTAAACTTGGCATGGCTAATGTTAGCAAACTGTTTCAAATTGAACAAAATGTGATTCAATGTTAATATAAAAACATTGATTTGAGCAGGTTGAAAAAGTTGCAGTTGAATTAAACTGTTGTTATCATGAGAGAGACATTTGGCTAAATCCTATAAAAAGATAGTGCTGTGTGTGTCTCCTTTTAAAGTCATCAGAGAAAAAAGGCACAAGATAACAACATCAAACAACTGAACCCACCAACAGGAAAGGACATAGTTGTTTGAATCCTTTTGATGGCTAAAACACTGATTGTGAATAACAGATGACTGAGGAATGTCTACCAGGTTTAATCCAAATGAGTATAAGACAAAACACCCATTAAAATGATCTCAATCACAGTGTTATTCATTTCATTTAGCTACAGCTGTAATACACACATACACTTCTGAGTCCTGGCAGTGCATAAGCCCTTGTCCCAGTTAACAAAGAACACCTCTTACACTCTACACAAAATCCCAAATCCCCTTGCCCCATATTCCATCAAGTAAAAGAGTCAACATCAAACACCCAAGGCCACTGTTCCACTTAACTAAAAAAAGAAAGCTGAAAGCCCTTGGCCTATTTTGACAATGTTTAACACAGCCATGCAGAGTTTGTATTACTACCCAAGGTCCTCTTCCACAAAGTCCCCTAACACAAGGAGGATTAGTTTAATTTCAATATCATGCATTCACTTAATGAGAAAAAGGGCAAACTATCTATTATCAGAGGCTTTAATTCTCCAGGCACCAACAGCAGAAAGGCAACATTAACCCTCTCATATGGAGATTACTGGGACAAACCCCTAACAGAATGACAGACTTGGCTTTGAATACATGACCAACTGTCCCCAGCATTTACAGCAGTGGCATTTCCTGGCTCTGCAGATAGGGGGAGCTCTAGTTTAGTGCTGAGTTACTTTCTGCTGCGGTGTTGTCTTGGATAATCTCTTTACTGCAGCAGGAGAGGAGGAAGAGGAAGAGGAGGAAGAGAGGTGAAGAGAGTATGCCCAAAACACAACTGACTGTTAGTAGATAGGGGAGATAAGATGTGACTGAAATGCTGCTGGTACCTTCATTTGAAATGTTAGGGAGCTATTTGGAGGTATTTGGCGGTATTATGTCTAACTGATATGAGTGGTATTTCTTAAATATCTACTTTTGCTTTGGTCTTGAGTTGAAGTTCACATTCACAACTTCTGTTCAAAGTACTCATAGTAGTACACATGATGACTAGGCTTAATGTTATATGTCTTTTAGTATTTTCACAGGTTAATCAATGCTGAAGTATTATTTGTACACTAAATTGCCTTCACTTTTTTATTTAAATGTGTGTTTTTTGTGACAATGTCAGTGTTTTCTTTTGCCTGTTGCCCGGCCATTTTCCTATTAGGTTGTTTAAACTGCACATTTGTTTTAATGCAGGACAAGGCTGCTTAGCAGAGAGGGACGGCTCTGTGAATATAGCTTTTGTTCACGTCTTAAATCTTGTTTATATCCTAGCTAATAATCTAATCTTAAAAATGTTTTTCTTTATTTTTGACTTGTTTAAAGACATTAACAACTTCAAACCCTTAAGATTATAGTATATGATGTTTAAAAAAAATAATAATAAGAGACTGTACTTACTGTTTTGTTATCTATGTGATTCACTATTGGCACAGGTTATTTAATGTGGAATAATTGTCTTTTACTATTTTACCTGCAATTTAGGATTTCCTTTCTTCTTCCTTCTTCCCCAGATGCTGCCATCATTTTGAATTATTTACTGATTTGTCCACACACACACAAACAAACACCACCATGGGCCAACTGTTCTCATCAGAAGAAGAGCTTTCTCGGGTGAAGGATGCGGTGGGTTTCGTCCTCTACGACGCCATGTTGGAAGGCGGCGCTGTACCTGACCTCGGAGTCGTCCACCCTCTCCTCTTATCCAATCACGGAGAGAGCTTTGACTCCCGGGCCGGCCTCCAGGCACAACTAAAACAGGTATATAACAATTCAAAGGAAAAGTGTGACAGTATTTATGGGGGATAATATTGCTGTTTATGAGCAAAACTGACTAGAAACATGAGATGATGATGTTCCCTCTGAAAAAGGCTGAGAGGGTGAACTGCTTTTTTAGTTTTTTTTTTATCTGTTGAGTCATGCAGAGCAGATGGAGTTGAACAGGCTGGGAAGGAAAGATGTGGTTGCCTTGAGTTAGTTAAGAAAGAGTGGTTGTGCAAAATGAAACACCACTCAGTATTCGAAAAGTAGCCGTAGAGAGGTTGCAGATCAATACCATGATGATAAAATGCAGTGCAAAGTTGTTCTTAAAAAAAGAGAGTATATCTTGTTTTGTGACGTATGGTAAGAAGCACATTTCTGTTTACTTCTTCTCACCCAGCTACAGGGCGACATTGGGAAAAGGGCGCCGACCTACCTGAAGGATCTGATTGGCCGACTGTCGTCCTTCTCTGATGAACCACGCCTGGCCGGCCTGGTGGGATTGGTGGTTACCATGGTGATGGATATGGCCTACACATCGAAACAGTCATCAGCTGTGAAAGTGAAGTCAGCGGGGTCGTCATCAGGCCAGGTAAACACATCCACTGAGACTTTTAAGACAACTGTTTAAACAAGTTTACTTATGATGAGTACTTTACTTACTCAATCTGTTTTTTCACATACCCTGGGTGTTTCTCAATGTCGGGGACGGGAGGCTTGCTTGGTAGAACATGTCCCTCCAAGTCAGGTCCTTCAAAAGCGAGGCAAGAATCCTTCCTAGCCTCGGAAAACGAAGAATGGTGGAACAGGCTAACAGGTGTGCGTCATATCATATGCGAGGCCCCGCCTTAAATGGAGCGCGATTTCAGCAAAAGATTTGGAAATTGGTCCGTGCGCAAAGCATTGTGGGGATTTTAAGACCGCGGAGTCTACACAGGTGCAGCCTCGAAATGTCCCGCAACGAAGTACGCCGGCCTCGGTAGAATTCCAAGTATGCTGGACATTGGAACAGTCCTTAGTCGGGACTCGATGACGTAGCATCCTTGAAATAGTGGCTCTGGAGCATCCTTCCTCGACATTGAGAAACACCCCCTGTACAATTTGCAAAGATTTTACTCACACTTCCTTACTGCATTTAAATGTTAAATATTAATTAAAAAAACCTAATTTGCACACTTTGATATTGCATATTGTGTCCTATGTTTACATTATTTTATTAGTAGATTGCTCCATTATAGTGTATTCTTACTTACTCTGTATATTTATATATAGGGACACGGAAAGTCTACGAGAGTTATGAACCCCCTGATCCAAATATAAAGATTGTTGCAAAAAGTTTGTATTTCTTGTGTCATATGTTTTTATTATTGTATTAGTAGATTGTTCTATTATAGTGTATCCTAACTTATTCTGTATATTTATATATAGGGACAAACACGAAGTCTAGGAGAGTTTTGAAACCGAATATAAAGATTGTTGCAAAAAGTCACCATGTCCATTGTCTCCCTCCAGCAGAGGGTCTGGGAGCTGCAGGAGGTGATGGAGGAGTACCTGAAGCGCTGCAGGATCAACCTGAGTGACAAAAGCAAACTGATCCAGGACTCTGTGAGACTTGAAGCTCAGCTCAGCCTCACCCTCACCCAGCTGAAGACCTCCCTGCTGGGGGGAGACTGTGACTCCAGGTGAGAGATTAAAATAGCTGTGAGTAGGGCTGCTCAATTAATCGTATGTTAATCGCAATTACGATTATGGCTTGCAACGATTACAAAAACAACTTAATCGAAATAAAACGATTATATTTTATTATTATTATTATCTTTTTTTTTTTTATTGGTTTTTCAGTTGAATTATACTTAAAGTTCAGGGTAATCAACTGTTAAAAACATACTGTTCATATTTTTTTCTCCAATAAATTGATGTTTTCAAAGTAAATGGATAATCGTTTTTAATAATCGTGATATCAATTATTGACCCAAATAATCGAGATTATGATTTTTGCCATAATCGAGCAGCCCTAGCTGTGAGCACAGAGGAGTAGAGAATAACAGAGGAGCAGGAAACAGTTGCTAAGGGTTTAATGCCACACAGGATAGAGCAGTGGTTCCTATCCTTTTCTAAAGTGCCTACTTTTTGTCATTGATTAAACTGAAGTACCCCTGAGTAAATGACATATGTTATGGATATTCTTTATCATATTCTATGCATAACAATAACGGCAAAACTGATAACATGTACAATTAACCCAAATAGTGAACACAATATCTGCAAAATGTTTGTGTAAGATGTCTCTGAAAATGTATTTTGAGTTAAATCTAAATCTGGTTTATATAAATAGATGGTCAAAATAAAAAAATATTATGTTGGTATAAAATCCTGATATATATGCCAACTGTACATATACGTTAAACACACATTCAAATCAAGAAGGCCTTGTTATCGCCCATGATGTTCTTCAGGACCAGCCCCAGCTTGGTATTAGCTGCATTGTGTAAAGTAGAAAGAGAGCAAAGAGTTATTCAAGGATTCAAGGATTCAAGGCTTTTATTGTCATGTGTGCATAGTTACAGTGTAGTTATGACAATGAAAATCTTATGTCACAAGCTCCTCCAACAGTGCAACACAATAAAGCAGATAATAGTGCAAGTAAGTAAAATAAAATAGAATATAATCTAAATAGTGGTCCATGTGTTAAAGAACAGTAATGCTGAGGGGTGTTTTGTTCTTACTGTCTGATCCTCCAGGTCTCTGAAGCACTGGGCCAGCGGAGCAGCGTTTCATACCCAGATGTTGGTGCACCTGGCCGGCTTCGAGGGGCAGGCTGAGCCCCGGGCTGCCAGGGCCGCTCTGGAGCAATACAAGGAGGACCTCACACAGATCATACCTGCGTACAGGTAATACAGCGGTGGGGGTGCTCTAAGGTTGGTGTGGTACTGGCTCTGTGCCTCATTTATTTGCTCATTTGGTTGACTAACAAGGCAACACAGTTATAAGTTAAAGAAGTTATAAGTTGGGAATCTGTTGGTTGAAAAACGTGATAAATTGGGTTGCACATTTTGATTATATTTTTTTATACCAGTTTTCTCTGAGATGTTGTCGTCTAAACTGGCAACTTGGTTGGAGGATTCAAGTCATTGACTCCACATTCTTTTCTGTATATTGGCAATCTTTCCAGTTTAAAAAACGACTTAAAATGTATTATTTTATTATTTATTATAAATACATACCTACTATTATTATTTATTACATTATAGATTTAATTTTTATACTCCTGGAAATAATTACTGCACTTTATTCATTATTCCTAAGTATGTATGCTGTGTTTATTTTTTGTCTTATGTTGTGATCATACTTGCCAACCCTCCCGATTTTCGCGGGAGACTCCCGATTTCATAGCCCCCTCCCGGTTTCCTCCCGGGTCATATTTCTCCCGCATTTCTCCCGATTTCTGACAAAATCAGATTTACTCAGGACTGTTTCCACTCTGACTTTAATACAGCTGGCTACACCATTGTTTGGTTTCCATGGTAGCGCGTCTCTTTAGTAGCGCGCGCAACTGACAGTCTGAGAGGGTGAGGAAGATAGCCACAGAAAACAGAACAAGAATCGACAACTCAACCCTCTGCTCACTCCTTTCCTGGCAAATACAGGTCCAGCCCACACATATGCTCCATCAAGGATGGTGCTACAGGCCGCAAAGCAGTGCACTTACAACTACAATAATACGCGGTGGTTTTGAAATGCTCCCGATTTCTGAGGTCTCAGGGTTGGCAAGTATGGTTGTGATGTTTTTTGTTTTGATGGCACCCTTGAAGGGAGAAGCATTTATTATCTCATTGTACATGTATAATGACATTAAACGATTCTATTCTATTCTATTATTAATTATATTCTTTTAAATAATAAAAAAAAATATTTGGGTAACAACAAGTGAAGTTACAAAAGTCATTCCCAGTGCCATGGAGTCAGTCTACTTTAAACTCTTGATATTTGTGGTACAGCTGTAGACTGTAGGTGGACAACCAATGCAAAAAGTCTGCACAACATATGATACAACGAAACACACTGAAGATTTTGAGACCCTATTATTAGACAGGGAAACACACAGCACTTCAGTTCAGAAGCAGGAGCCTAATAACGCGACTGACAGTGGAAACCGCAGCCACACAGAACCTGCCGTCTAGCATGAGACAAGCTTTCCAGCCTGCTCCCAATATGACAGCAGAAACACACAACACATCTCACTGTCAGAAAAGTCCAGCCTTTACCTTTCAGCTTACATTTGGAGTCGCTGTTTAGAGTAAAAAATATCCAGCCAGACAGGAAATAGCTGCAATCAATACAGCATCAACAGCAACATGGAAATAAAACATGAAAGTCAAAGCTAATTATTTGTCTTTCATCAATAGATGTTAACCACCAGACAGCCTCTCCCCCATTAGCAACCTTTCATCACTGTAATTTCTGAAATAATATATCCAGGTTTCTGCATAAATTAATGATTTAAAAATCCACTGATCCATTTATCAGTTTTTTTTAAAATGTGATAAAAGGTTCGAAATATTTTTGTGATCCTCTCACCCACCCCAATCTCTTCACTGTAGGCATTATAAGTCTAATATGGTGTGTGTGGTGAAATGTCGAGGGAGTCTTCTGGCGTCATGTGACCCCCACAGCGAGGAGCCAGAGGAGGGATCCATGACGGGACTCACGGTGACGGACAGAGAGACAGGAAAGAGTGTCACCCTCTCTCTATCCACCATGAAGGAAGAGACAGGTAGAGTTTTTTGAAATTATAAAAAAACAGACGTCTCAGTCAAGTTGCATTTAACTGATCTAAATTTAACTTAACAGGGAGAAGAATGAGAGTCTCTGGGACTGACGCCACCCCTGTGCCAACTGTGCCCTCCTCCTCCATTAACCTGGACCTTATCACCTCAGATCAATACGCCCAGGCATACCTGCACCATCTGTTCTCTGATAAGGGACCTCTGGCAGAGCTAGAGGACTACTTTATCAAGGCTAGTGCCAATCTGAGAACACTGAGAACTGAACCAGGATGTATAAACAACAAAGGCGTGGGAAATGAGATAAAAGAAAGTGATGGAGTGCATGTTGGAGACCAGGCGCAGGGCAGTGATGGAGAACAGAGAGTGGACAGGAGAGGACGACGAGAGGAGGAGTGTGAGCAGAGAGGTGAAGGTTTGCAACTGAGTATTGTGGAGACGCAGCCGAATGAGAGACCCAATCACAGTTAAAACAATTACATGAAGGCCATGACCCGACAGTAGCAACCAAACCTCGTTTATTTAACAGAAACATTATAGTTAACTTAGAAACAAGAGTTTTGTTATGTTTTTTCACATGTATGTATTCAGAGAGCATAACTGACTGCTGGGTATAAGCTGAATAGTACTTCTTCTTATTTATATGGAACAAAATTGGCCAAATATAAACTTTGGGTTTCACTGTTATTTATAAAAGTGTGTTTCACAAAGGCGTTTCAATTTCAATAAATGTCGACAAGTCATAAAAAAGTGTTGGCCTGATTACTATAACATTTGCTTGATACCAAAACACAAATTAATATGTAAAAATGTTACAAAAACTGAAACAAGAACCCTACTAATGTACTAGCAGAGCCAAAGCAACCAAGATGTGCATATTGTATTCAGGGCCGGCCCTTGGCACTGACGAACAAGGCGGTCGCCTAGGGCGTCAGATCTGGAGGGGTTATGTATATAACCAACATGTCAATACATTTCAGTTTTTGTAGTGTATTGGTCTTTGGTAGAGATTTTTTATTTATTCTTTATATATTCTATTGTGTATTGCTTGGATGGGGGGGGGCACCAAATCATAATCTCGCCTAGGGCACCAAAATGTCTAGGGCCGGCCCTGATTGTATTGTTCGCCCTGCAAGTTTACATCACAATTCAGCAGCATAATAAAGAGAACTACCAGGCAATCATCTGTGCACACACCATATAAGGAACTTCCTACAAAGACTCAAAAGAAAGGCTAACTAATGGCTGGAGTTTACGGTAATTCCAGATTTGAAAAAGGGCACCGATCAATGAGTCAAATTAAAAGTCTAGCCGAAACATCAAAGCGTGTACTGTCGATGAGTCACAGAAGCACTTCTTGCCTGAATATGGGGGATATATTGATGCCCCCAGTGCCAATCTACACAAATGCACAAAACTCAGCCTGCAACGGAGAAGATAACATGCAACATCATTCATTCTTCCCAGAGGGTTCTCTTATAAATTGTAATTCCATATTTGTACATACATGATGAAATCAGATGCATATTACAAGGTCTGTTGTCACAATTCTGCAATCGTGTAGCTTAAAAAATAAATGTCTCTGGTTTCTCTACATATTTCAGTTTTGAGCCTGCTTAAAGGGGACCTATCATGCAAAATTCACTTTGTGATGTCTTTTATACATAAATATGTGTCCCCGGTGTGTCGGGGAACTCACGCAGCGTCAGAAAATAAAACCCTTTCTCTTTTCCTCCATACACAAATCTTTTAAAAACGGGGGTACAACGAGCGGATACAGAATTGCTGGCATTACGTAATTTCGGATGGTGGACCCACAGAGAGTTGCTATCAGAAACAATGCCTGACGTGTTTTGGACGTAATCTCGTCTTTGTTTACATTAGCAAGCCTCGCTAACACTCAGAGCTAACCTGTACTGTGTAGAAAAAGCAATGTGTTTACAAAGCAGGAAATAACTCCCCTTGTGATAAACCCGCAAGAGAAAAAGCAGTTGAGCTCCATACTGTTTCAGGAATAATCCTTGATGTGGTTTAGAACAGGATGGCGTTTTATCACAGTAGAATTTAACTTTATCTCCGGTAGAATTCTGATCAGGCATTAGCTCCGCCTCCTCTTTTTATTTATTTTTAAAGCTAAGGACCCAAATCTGCGTTTCTCTAACAGGGCTGAAAAGAGGAGTATGAACAGTATGAGGCATGGCTACAA